TATTACAACCGCTCACTAAGCGCTCAGTGAGCGCTTGCATCTTATTGGGTGCATTCAGTACCACGACCGCTCAATGACAGCGCTCACTGAGTAAAAAAGGGATTAATCTATGATTATCGGTGGAGCGTAATTAAAAGTCGTTTCACCGCTCACTGAGCGCTACATAACCTTATGGCCCAAACACGGCATTAGAGAAATAATAAACAGTAATAAATAAGTAAGGAATATGATATTAAAGATAATAGACAAGTTATTTTACATTACGAATTATAACAAATAAACATATTAATCATAGATTAATCCTTTTTTTACTCAGTAAGCGCTGTCATTGAGCGGTCGTGGTACTGAATGCACCCATTGGCATATTCTGTTAGAACTAAAAATATAGACCAAACAGATACAAGAGCTCACTGAGCGCTCAGTGAGCGGTCGTGGTACTGAATGGACCCATTACTGCTGCAGCGTGCTGCGCATGAAAAGACACCTTAAGATTAAGGCATCCTTACACGAGGGCACCCGGGTGATATTTCCGAACGCAGCCTTAAAGCTCAAGACACGATTTCAATCTATCAGAAATCGGATACACCGGAATACACAGTTTCTGATAGGTTGAAACTATGTTATTCCTATCGCTATCGCTATTCCCTCGCATTGTGTCTTGGGCTTAACTCTTTTCGTGGGACAGACCGTTGCATTTTTCTACCAAATTCTTTTGTTTCGAATGAAACGCACTGGAAGAGTATATTTTTATCAATTTTCGTGGTGACGTCCGTATTCTAAATATATACGGACACATTTTATTTAAATGATCATAAAGTGACAGATTCTACTCGGTTTCTGCTGTGAAATTATGTTGATAGGTTTGCAGACTGTAGGCAAGCTGCTATCATTTGCTCATGTTTTACGTATTCCTTTAACCTTTCAGTAGGTAGGTGGATTTTGAAATGTAAGTAGGTAGGTGGGGTGCTGAGATACCACACACACAAAAAGTTTTTATTTTTATAATCATTTTTTTTACTAGAATATTATATTTTAGTTAAATTTACATTAGTTATACTCTAATGAGATAGAGAATGTAAAAATAATGAACTTTAACACTCCTGGACGATACTTTTTAATTTTGTTTCCAGAAGGATAGTTTTAATCACGGATTTTCCCGTTTTATTTCATTAACACAATTATTAAAAAACACAACTCAGACCAAAAAAATACAAATATTCTGATAATAAATAGTATACCATACCATAAAACATAAATCGTACAAAAAATTGTCTTTACAGCGTAAAAAAAATATCGAGTTGAAGATAGGATAAGTTATAAAATACAAAGTAAAAAATATAAAAATTGTTAATTTTTTATAAGAAATGAATATTTTAATGACAAAAATATGTAAAACAGTCAATGTTTGAATTAAAAAAACTAATAAAATTAAATTTTGTTTCATAGAATTGAAATATAACAACAAAAATAACAGAAAAATAAGATTATTTACTTTTTATAATTAAATTTACATTAATTACATTCTAATAAAATAGAGACACGTAAAATTAATATAAATAAGACAAGAAAAGTAATATAAACAAGACAACTTGACTACAGCAGAGAAAAACCTCTGATTATACAAAAACTTGAAAGAAGGTGAAGTATGAAAAGAAAACACAAGTGGGTAGGTGGGATGTCCACAACACCCGCAGCATGTTTGACGCTCTATTATTGTTTACTGCTTCAATTGATGAGCCACTACCACTTTAATCTGTCAAGTAAACATTAATAGGAAAATATTAAATCGATGAGCTCTGTTGTCAATCTAAAAGTATGAAATATTTAAGAAAAACTATGCCTAGGGTGCTTAAATACCCCACATATTTACTGAAAGATTAATTATTATAGATACTTTATATACAAATTACAGATATAGATTGAAGTTAATGATGAAGAAAATAAGCGAGCAGGTAGACTCATCAAGTTCAGAAGATGAAAAATTTGCAAACATTTTGAAGGAAGCAATTGATCAACAATTTTTAAACAATAATCTGTATAGCCTAGAAAAAACCAAAGCTATTCCTGAGTCTGGTAAGTAAAATTAATATTTTTGTCTTTTATCTTCAATGTTTACAAAGCAATTAGGTTTCTGTAACCCCTCTCTCTCTCTCTCTTTCTTTCTCTCTCTCTCTCTCTCTCTCTCTCTCTCTCTCTCATAAAAATGTGATGTATTAATTATTGTTTAACGTTTTAAAAGAAGCAAAGACTAACAAATTGGATAAAAATTATTCCTTAAAAATAAGCTCAAAACAAGGAGATGAATTTACAAATTTTGGTGTTACCGCCACATTTCAAAGTTTTATCGCCAAAAAACTAGATGAAATTTTGGAGCGGTAAGCAATAAAATAAATATTTTAGACATGTACAAATATTATTCTGTTTTTAATAAATTAACATTTTGCGCAAATGCAAATATCAATTTTAGAACTATAGAGATGGAAAGTAGTGAAATTCCTAATTATTGTGATGAACAGAAACGGAGGAAGGACAAGAGCTCTGGAATAAAACTTCTAAGTACATCGAAAAAATTGTTAACTATTGCAAAAATCGAAGAGGAATGTACGGAGCATAAGAAAAAATCCAAAAGAAATAAACAGATTGGAGAGGATGACGAGACGTCAAAATGTCAAGAAGCTGTCATTGACCCAGAATATATATTAAACAAATTAGATTTGAAAGCTTGGGTTAATAAACGCCCAGAATCGGAATTTAAGTATAAAAGATTAAAAAATGGTACTTTAATTGAGATGTAGTATTACTTTTCTATTTGTATTTGTATATATGTACATATTATACGATCATTTCCTATAATTTTCTTATTGAATCTTTTTTGATAAATATTTTTTTATTTTTATAATTTTCTTATCTTTATTAAATTGTTTTTTAAGGAATACACAGTCATGGTATTCTTGGATTTGTTCACATTGCTTGCATTTTTCCACTCAGCAACTTCGCTTTCACTCTTTTCAACGCCCAAACATATTTATCTCATTTTAAGTTAAAAAATTAAAGGATTTCAAGCAACGCGAACACTGCAAAGTGCGAACGGTGAAGTTCCATTTTACTACATGGCTGAAATCTACGATGTATTATACATAGTTTTATCCATGTATGAAACCACGTATAATACGTTGAGTTTGATACGTGACCAACCCTGGTTATAACCACAGACTTGTATAAATAGACTGCTGACTCAAGATAGAAAGAGATGAACCTGATTCCGAGATATCTTTGTTTTAGTTTCCCTATACGTATGTATGCATCCTGTCTGTGAGTATTGTATGAATTTATCCATGTAATTTATACATGTGTGAGTGAGAGAACTCAAATATGTCGCTGTTCAGCGCTGTCTTCAAACATGGAGGCGAAGTTGGCAGTCTATTTATAGAGAGAAGTCTGTGATTGAGTCCACTTACAGAAGTCTGTGGTTGAGAAATCTGTAACTTAAATTTATTATACGAAAATACACATTACATAATGAGATTATAGGGATTATCATTACAAACCATTATACAAATAAAAATGAAGATTTTAAAGCAAAAGACAAACGGGAGTCTAAATTCATTGCCAACTTAAATATTTACATAATAGCCAACCTAATGACCTAACTGATACGAACATACGAAATTATTTAATTTCTTAACAGTTTCGATCGCGATTAGTCCATCTTCGGTACGTCATATAAAAACTACATAAAATTGTTAAATAAATAACATGAGTGTCAGATGAATAAAACGCAATAATATAAAACTTAATTAGAAGTCAGTCGAATATAACAGTTTAAAATACAAGAATGTTTAATAAATTAGCTACAAGGTTAAATTTCGTTGAAAAACGCCCGTTAATCAATTTTAAAATTGTAGATTATATGAAATATTGATCCATTGAAATTCTTGGTGATAATTTCTTTTCAACTCGTTTAATTGGTAGATGTATTATCGGGGTGAACTTCCAAAAATGTCAAACGCCCGATTTCCATGAATTTTGATAGAAACACTCTAAATAACATCAAATGAATGCCCTTAAATGGATTTTCACCGACAAGATTTAATGCCAAAAATGTGAATGAATAAAATTATAGAAGTTTGTGCTTATTATTTTTAGTATATTAATCGACGCTTATCGCGGTTTATATAGGAGTTGAATAGAGAGGATTTGAAACACACGACTTTCTATGCGAAGCAACTCTCACTCCACCTCCCCCCTGCTAAGGGGCGCACGATTTCCACGCGAAACGATTTTAACCCCACCTCTCTCCTGCTCAGGGGCGCACGACTTTTCACGCGAAATGAGTTTCATTACACAGTTTATCCACAAGATCATTTGGGCCTGATCTTTTTACTTATTTTACTAATATATTATACCCTTTGTTGTTTTACTAATATATCTCTATATCCAAAAATTATATTTCATTTATAGGAATTCTTTTGTTAATAACTTTTTAATGCGAATAACAAGCGACGAAAGAAGTTTATGACCTTGACCTCCTTGAAGGTTAAAATCCATGTTAAGGTCATTTGGAAAAATCATTTTGGGCTGGCTATGTAAAGTTAAACTTCTATTATAAATACTTCGTGTGTAAATTATAAAATAAATAATATATTGCACGTCTTTTTGCAATTGTAATGATTTATTAAAGTCACTGAAAAATAACAATTATTTTTGTATAACATGTATAATATATGTATAATAAAATAACAAATGGCTTTTATTTCAAAGTATGCCAGACAGTAACAAGTTTCCTTGGATTTTGAAGCACTGAGAACCAATGCAATCTTTCCGTCGAACCTCTCACACCTTTTCCAAGAGCCACTTTACCGATAAAAGTATCGGTAGACCTTTTGAATGAACTGACAGAATCTTCACTGTCACTAGCGTCGGCGGTATTGGCAGGCAATCCTTCCGGGAAAACCTAAAATTATTGATGGTAGAAAAATACGATTTTGTCATATCACTGTTTTTACAAAAGTTATTTTTATTGTATGATCATTTATAATGATATTAAATTAGTTGTTATATTAATTCTATTGGATTATAAGAAGTGACGAGAAATAGAAATAAATGGAAACTGACAATGAGAAGCGTAGGAGAGAAAAAAGTCGAATCTGTTGGATTTTCTTTTTTAATTAAAGCAAGTAAAGTTCAGATATACTTTTTCTTTATTCACACACAAAAACATGTCTGATCAGAAAGGATCTTACAGGATGAATGAATATAAACCAAAATGATTGTTAGCACAACAAAAGAACGTGAAAAACATAAGAAGTTTCAAAAGAAAATCCGTGATACAAGGCGCGAAATACAAACAGACTTATTTAACTAATTACAACAGAATCAATAATATCAGGAATAGATCGAATTTGTGCCATTATCTCAAAAATAATATTCCTAACAAACGTTTATCCAAAATAATATTCCGAATGTCTGGGTAAACAATTTTCTCGGGTATTATCTAGATACCCAAGTAATATCCGTGAAGTTGGATAACGAGTGCAAATATCCAGATATAGAGATAACAGATTATATTGAGTCTTATGGAGTCAATTCTAAGCAAAATCGCAAGATTCGTAACGTGTTCTCATGAAACTTGTAAAAACTTATGACTAGTATTCTAATTTTATGCATATGTGTCGTAAGACGTACGATTATTCGTAAATATCTACGATTTCTTATAAATTTTATAGCTAATAAGTTGTCCGTAAAAATATTGTATAAAGGTATAAGCACTTAAAAAAATTCTTGCAAGTTTTACAGGAATATATTACGAACCTTACGATTCTGCTTAGAATTGAGGCATTAATTTCTAATTTATCCTTAAATACATTCGATAATAAAATTAAAGCATCACCTATTCTGCCCCCAAACATGATAGATAAACTTCAAAACAATGTAACTTCGTAAAAAATCATAGATTAAAAAAAATTTTAAAGTTTGAAAATTTTTTACGAAGTTACACCTTCTAATTAAAGTTTGTCTGTTTTTGTTTTAGGGACAAAATAAGTAGTACCTTAATTTTGCTGTTAAATGTATTGATCTTCAATCATATTCTTGAGGCTTTCACGGGTGTTACCTATGTGACAATCTTGCGTTTCGCGGGTTTTCTCCGTGTTCAGATCCATTCTTGGAATGCCAACGTTTCGTGAACCTTGCAGTTCACGAAACGTTGGCATTCCAAGAATGGATCTGAACACGGAGAAAACCCGCGAAACGCAAGATTGTCACGATCTTCAATCATATTATTGTATTTATTTTTCGAAAAAATCTTTTTCCAATTTACCTTGCTACAAAGCACCACTAAAAATTGGACGGTATCGAGTTGTGTAACTGCTAAATTAAATGTCAAAGTCTCATTAAATTCTGGCTGTGCAATCGTGCGCAAGTATTTGGTCTTCTTTTTCTTCATTTTTTTCCCCGTCTTTCCGTTTAACATTAACACTTTAACGTATGGATCTGTAATGGATATGATTGTTTAAAAACATTTTTGTTGAGCAAATTAAATTGATTGTAATTTAAAGCTCTAAATATAAAGCCGGCAGTACACGATGCTTTTTTCCTACTAGATTGTTAGCTAGATTTGCGTACTTGTTACTGTATTGGCTGCAGTACCGCAATCAATATGGTAACAAATACGTAAATCCAGCTAGCAATCTAGCATAAAAAAAGCATCATGTATCGCCAGCTTTAGAGGCAATAAGAACAGCGCATTCCTTTTCTGTGTATAAATGTTGACAAATGCATTTTCTTGACTTCATTGGTTCCCTTCTTTTTTCAACTGCTATTTTCGATCTGTATTTCTGATAGCTAAGAGAAGGTACACGGAATAAAAACAACACAATTTTTTATTTTTTGAACGATTTAAAAAAATAATTGTTTATGGCCTTCCTTATTAACATAAAGAATGACCTCTGTCCAGGTGGCCTCCTCATCACACGGAAATAAAAAAAAAACGAATAGCTCAGAATTGGAATTACTGAATTTTCAAACCTAGCAAGAAAAAAATTTTGAGCTCAGAGAATTTTGATTTAAGAAGGTCTCCTGTTTTATAGGATAAAAAATGTCGATTTTTTTCATAAATCGATAGTACAACTCTTTGAGAATATGGCCCTAAAATTTTATAGCGAAATTCGAAGTCCTTCGGTATAAATTCAGCGCTTGTATATACGAGCGCGCAGATATATTAAATGATCTATACAACTTTGATCTCCATTTGTTTATAACATAATACATAACAAAAGAAAATCGAACGAAAATGAAATTGTACGCCGGTATTTGTTAACTAAACCAGGAAGTGGTAATGGAAAAAGCGATTTATTGGTCATCGATCTCTGTTTATAACTTAATACAAAACAAAATGAGATCGAACAAAAACAAAATTATATGCTCCCGGTAACAAATTTTTCGTGCATGAGTATGTATGTATAAACATGTATAAATTTATAAACATACATAATTATATATGTGCTGTATAATTATATATGAAATTATAATTATATAATGTGAAATATGTCCATACATGTTTATACATCCTTCTTTCTTTTCTAAAATTACATTTTAGTGTAATAAAAATCCCATCAGTACAAACTTACCTTTTTAAAAAAAAAGGTAAAAAAGGCGCTAAGAATATGCTTCTCGAATACAACCTTATAAGTGATACGTTACATACCTTTTTATCTTAACTAACCAAGTTAAATTCTATAAAATTAAAAAGTAAAACCAAGTGGTACTATCTTTGCTATTTACTTATTAACTCTAATTATATGCATCATTTATATAAAAGATTTGATATCAACAACTGGCGCCAAGTTAAATTCCACAAAATTTTATATACCATTCATATAAAAGATTTGATATCAACAATTGACGCCAAGTTAAATCCTATCCAACACCATACCAAATAAAATAAAGAATATAATCCAAGTGGTACTATCTTTAACTTTTGTACAATAAAATCTAAGTATATCTTTATATTCCTATTAAAGAATCTTCTTATTTCGATCCAAATGATTTTAATTCTTGTTATATGTAATTTGTATATCGCAATTCTTTCAAAGACATTTTCCCTTTCAACCAAAGTAGTAGTTATTTAATTCTCCTTCAAAACATTATTCAAAACGTTATGACAAAATTGCGTTATCTTGTCCATTCAAATGTTACCACAAAAAATTAAAGAAGTAAATCTTGGCGCTGCCAGATCACAGTATAACATAGTATTAAAAGTATGAACGTAATGTTTAGAATAAGAAAAAATCTGTATTATCGACATCGATCAAATTCGGCTCCGTCACTCCAGCATCCCCTTAAGATAAAATACAGCAAGAACTAATGGCGAAGTCCTAAGACTAAGGCCCTGCGCACAATGGAGGAAATATTAGGAACAGGAATAGATATTAAGATTTCAACCTATCAGAAACCGTGTATTCCGATGTAACTGGTATCTGATAAGTTAAAATCTTAATATCTATTCCTGTTCCTAATATTTCCTCTATTGTGCGCAGGGCCTAATAAACAGAAGCCGAAAGATACTCACCACAATAGAAAAGAGAAACCTTAGACACATTATGCACAACACAAGGCACCAACGACTACAGCTGATTAAATTGAAGGAAATATTGAGGAAAGAAAAGAAATAAGACGAAAAAATCGGAAAAAAGATGTCACGACTTCGGAATATAAGGTACTAGACAGAGCCCAAAAATTTAGAATCGATATGACAATGAATGGAGAGGAAATGAAAATGTGATGCAAATATCCATTAGTGTCCCTAACAGCATATGACATCCTGCATATCATCCTATTTTCCTACTGATTGTACTATAATCATCTCAAACGACTCTAACAAATTGAGATTAACGCAATAATATTTCGTACAGTATCATTCCGTTTCCTTTCGCGTATGTATAAATTCAGGTTTAACGCCAAATACGGAAACGGTATGTATCATTTTTAACAAACTGAGATTAGCACAATAATATCTCGCACAGTATCATTCCATTTTCTTTCGCGCGCGTATAATCTCCAATTTGACTCAATACGAAATACCACGTGCGTATAATCTCAGGTTTGACATCAGATATGGAAACAATACGTATACCTACGCCATCTGCATATGCAATTCCTCTTACAATCTTTTCCCGCTTGCATCGAAGCAAATGCAAAGAGAACATTTCCTCTGTCACAGTGAGTTTCTCGTGCGACGTTAATTCCCGCTTTATCGAAAATAACCTCATATAAACGAACGACTAATGTACCGAATTTATTGTGTGGAACAAATCATATTGAAGAATTGTCTAATAAGAAAGACCCATCAACTGCTAGACGCTGATTCCAGCAAGTGACATATCGTCGGAAAGCACTCACCGAGGTAATCACAGATATACGTAAGTCGTTAAGCCTCCCGAACGAACCCCGATATGACATACAAAGTGTGCAACATTGCGGATCCATAGCAATAGAGTGATTCCTAGACATAACCCTTGACAGGTTGTAACTGAACTTGGATGCGGTTTCAAGGTTAATGCAGGTCATATCCGGGAGTCACCGTGTCACTGAGGATCCGCAACGTTGTACACTCTGTATATGTATAATACCGAAGTATTCGTTCGGGAAGCAATTCATATATCTGTGATCATCTCGATCGGTGCGTGCTTTTGTAATAAAAATTGCAGTAAAAATCAATTAATAAAAAATTAATAACGTAACCCATCTCGCCCCATGCGATACGTGAGCGCGCGCGCCTGGTTGCGTATATGTGTGCATATATAAGTGATTTACTTTCCATATCCCCAGTAGCCTTCCCATTTTCATTATATCCTTATACTGCTCTAAAGCTGTAGACATTCGTGAGGAATTCTATGGGAGACGGTATCCCGGACGTTCAATCATTCTCAGTACGTACCACGTTAATCGCAGTTAAGTAAGTTTGAGATTGTTCTGAGGTATCGCAATTATACTTTTGCGATGATCTCAGATTATTCTCAGTATCTCAACGTATTATTAGGGATAGACACGCATGAGAAAAAGAAGAAAATATTTTGTATCTTTTTCTAACTATTTCATATAAAATATACATCACACATTATTTTCGCCTTCCACTGTACTAATTCCAACAATTTTCCTACACTATTAGTATTGATAATACTTACTAAATTCATTTAAACTCAACACAGTTGGTATAAATTTAATATCGCGCAATTTCATAATGTTAATAGTTAGCCTTTCTGCAGTGGGTAGATAGCTTACAGCTAACAAAATGTTGCCAAATTCCTAAAAAGTGTAATTATTTACATATTATTTTTCAAATTATTACTTCTTTATAAGAATATTATTAATACTGTTGATACATGTTAAACGATCAATGATTATTTTGTAAATTAAAACATATTTAAGTTTATCCTTAACTAAATAATAAAAAATAATAAATTAAGAAATTATTATTATATTATTACATTAATATTTAAATTGTAAATATTTAAATTGATATTAATTTAA